AGGGATAAGCTACATCATATGATTTTTGTGGGAATGAGTAAGCACTCAAATGTTAGAATCATCATTTTTATTAGGCTGATTCTGGGATCAAGAAAGCTTCTAAGGCTTCCAAAATTGTTCGGCCCAGTATCTCAAGAATATTAATCATCCCATACATTTGTTAATCATCCCATACATTTGTGTAGCAAAGCTCCCCTGGCTAAAAGCCTTCATCTGTTTCCCATCACCTTTGCACATTGCACATGAATACTTGGCCCGCTGAATATGGCACCTATGGCCAGTGCAGTCTGGACCGTGCAGAAAGGGAAAGGGGGAAGAGTGAAGTGTGAGTGGTCAGGCATGGGAATTAGAACATCTCTATCCTAATTTCTCCACCTGAAAAACAGAGGGGAAACATATATATAGAAAGATAGATAGATAGATACAGATTTTTTTTTTTTTTTTGGTGGCTGGCTGGTACCGAGGAGGAAATATTTCTGTTGTGTGTTCCTGATTGACCTTAGGGGAGGTGGCCACTCTTACTTTGGAAATTTAGTTGTATTTCCATCCCTAGAACCAGGAGGAAAGCTCCAGAGTTCTAGTGGTCATGCTTTCAAGACTGAAATTCTAATATTCCAGAGACTGCCTATCCACTGCCAAATGTTCCCTGCATACTCTGGGCATCCTAGACAAAAAGGATGAAAACATTTCTTCTCAGATTGAAATGCCAAGCTAAACTTGTGATCTACGTCATTGGTTAGCCTACTTTAAGCACCACATCCATTTCAGTCCTTCCTGTATTTTCTTTCTCAGTCACCCTCACTCTAATTCTCAACACCCTGGCAATTATATAATCCTGGCAAATTTATCCACTAAATATTTGTTATCCTCACTTTGATATCCCAACTACCTGTCGACTGTCATGTAAGCCCTATTTTATAGTCTGACATTGTTCAACTGATCTTGCTTTTACTTGAGTCTTCCTTAGTGTGCCACACTGTATCAGAGTAATCACCCTAAAATGCAAATATGTCCCTTGCACTCTTAAAATCCTTTAAGAACTCCATGACATCCTAGGATCAATTATAAGCTCCCTCATGTGGCATAGAAGATCTTTCATGTTCTGGTCCAGCAACCTCTGCAGGCCTGCATTTTACACTCTACCTGTACTAGCTGCTTATGATTTCTCAGAATTTCCCAGCCTTTGTGTCTGTGCTCTTGTGATGTCTTCAGGGCAGTTCCTTCTATCAAGATTTAGATCAGCTATGCTTTCTTACAGGACACTACCCTCGACTTCTCCCCTCTTCCAACTACCCTCGGCCAGTGTCTCCTCTATATTAATCTAGAATGCTCTGCTTATCTCTATCATGATATTTACCACTTAGTTCTGAAATTGTCTTTTTATACATTTATCTCTTCAACTTTTGCTGTGGGGTATGTGTCTAGTGGGAATCCAAGAAATGTTTATTGGGGCCGGCCCTGTGGCACACTTGGGAGAGTGCAGTGCTGGGAGCGCAGCGGCGCTCCCACCGCGGGTTCGGATCCTATATAGGAATGGCCGGTGTGCTCACTGGCTGAGCGCGGTGCGGGCGACACCACACCAAGGGTTGTGATCCCCTTACTGGTCACGAAAAAGACAAAAAAAAAAAAAAAAAAAAGAAAGAAAGAAATGTTTATTGAATTTAACTAAATTGATTTTGATCGTTTAAAACTTCCAGTAGTGCCAAGCTTTTTCTTGCATCAGGGTCTTTGCATAATTAGTTCTGTTTGGACTAATTTTCTCTGCACATTCTCCTTATTTCCTACATAACACACACATACTCCACTTTAAGATTATTTTTTGATTTTTTGGCAGCTGGCCAGTATGGGGATCTGAACCCTTGACCTTGGTGTTATAACACCTTGCTCTATGAAATCATTTTTGAAGGTAATCATTTTTGAAGATAGTGGTTAACAGCTCGGGCACTAATGTCAGAATGCCTAATTTAAGAAATGTAAAATAAGTGACCCTAGACAATTTGCTCCCTTTATGTGTGTGTGTAAACACCTTGTTCCTTATTTGTTAAATGGGCCTAATAACCAACCTTCCTTCCTTCCTTCCTTCCTTCCTTCCTCCCTCCCTCCCTCCCTCCCTCCCTCCCTCCTTCCTTCCTTCTTTCCTTCCAGGGATTATGGTATCTTCTTCACTATTGTATCCTGATACCTAGCATGGCATACAATCAGTGCTTAATAAATTTGTGTAATCTCAATGATTGAATAAATGATCATCCTTGCTTTAGAGTATCAACTGAAGACAAGTAGGGAATTGTGGCTGCTTAAAGCCCTATCAGTGGCCTTTTTAAATGAACAATTAACTTCCTAACCCTTGCATTCACTTGGCTACATAAGCAAGCAACTCTTTTTTTCCTTAGTCCAAATGAAAACATTTGGGTGAAAGTTAAATGTGTGAATTTGTGGGCTGGCCCATGGCTCACTTGGGAGAGTGTGGTGCTGACAGCACCAAGTCAAGGGTTAAGATCCCCTTACCAGTCATCTTTTAAAAAAATAAAAATAAATGTGTGGAGTTGTAAAAGAGCAAATTCTTTTTTTTTTTTTTTTTTTAAAAAGATGACCGGTAAGGGGATCTTAACCCTTGACTTGGTGTTGTCAGCACCACGCTCAGCCAGTGAGCGAACCGGCCATCCCTATATGGGATCCGAACCCGGGGCCTTGGTGTTATCAGCACCGCACTCTACCGAGTGAGCCACGGGCCGGCCCCAGTGACATTTGTTAAAGATGGTAAGGCAGACTTTATTTAAGGGGGGCCAAGACAGTAGGTATAGGGATTGCTGCAGTGGGGTCTTGCAGTGGGAGAGGGAGATTGGGCACAATTCAAACCCCAACAAGTAGGACAAGCAGGAGGATTATAACCAAGAAGAAGGGTGGAGGTTAGTGGACAGAAAATTAGTAAGAGGAAACATTAGGGGTAAAGGAGTTTCTGGCTAAATGGGCTTGATGGGATTATTGTTGAAGGCAGGCTAAGGTAAAGTATACTGCGGGTGGTCAGATACCAAGGGTGGGGTATTTTCACTAAACTGACTTAGCAGGATTCTTGCTCAAAATGGATTCTACAAGGACAAAAAGGGGAGCTTAAGATTAGGCCTAGTCAGAAAGAACTCAGGAGGCTGACTCAAGTGTGCTCAAAGGAGAAAGAATCTTTATCAGAGTCATTCTTGGACTTTTAGTGCAGGAACATGGGCTCTTATGTACTTCATTTAGAACTGAGAGTATCATATCTAGGATTGACCAAGAAGTTGTTGGAATAAAAAAGATCAGGTTAAGGTGAACTTGCTCTACAGATAACAGTCTTAGGATGATGCATTATGAGAACAAAATGACAAGCAACATCAAAATAACAAGTGATGTAGACAACTATTTAAGCAGGTTAAAACTTCAATGGTGATCATGAAACTTATTTTTTGTGAAAACCTTAGCTTCTCCCAGCGTAATGAAATTAGTGGTGTAGACAGACAAGAAGAAAGGACAACTTTTCATTTTTTAGCAGCAAAAAAGTAAAGCTCTGAAAAAAAAGACAAAAGTCTTTTTTTTGAAAAATCAGCTTCCCTAAGTTACAGATTTTTTTAAATCACAAAATTTTTAACAAAATATGTCTTTTAGCAACAACAACAAAAAAATAAGTCAATGAGTACAGGGGTGAGAATAGTTACACTAGAAAGCATGGATTGAGAAAAGCTACCATGGCTGAGTATAGACAAGGTAGAAAGGATAGTAATAATAGGTTACTGAGTTCTCATTCTCTAATAATGGCCAGCCCAGTGTGTCATCAGGAGGCAGAGCACTGCAGCTTCTTTTTTTTTTTTTTTTTTAAAGAAGATGACTGGTAAGGGGATCTTAACCCTTGGCTTGGTGTTGTCTGCACCATGCTCAGCCAGTGAGCAAACTGGCCATCCCTATATAGAATCTGATCCCGAGTGAGCCACAGCCAGCCCTGCACTGCAAGTTCTGTTCACACTGCCAGAGCACTTAGAACCAGTAGAAATCATGGCCCTACCCAACCTGAGCACTGAACACTCAGGGGCTGCTCCTTTATTTTCCAACTCCAGAACGACTATCAATACTTTTGCTGGCCAATTGTATATGTGTTAAACATTTCCATTCATGTCCTGTACTTGTTTCTCTGCCTCATTTGTTGTTTGTCATATCCCATAGTCTTATAGCTTGGAAGTCATGACTTTGTGCAAAGCTGAAGCATAGGCAGCTGGTGATGGTTTAAGAGGAGGAAGAGGAGCAGTCCTCCTAGAGTAGGCTTTGGGTTCTGGCCTACAAGACTAGGGAATCAAGCTTCTGCATCTTCGTCCCCTTCTTGGGCAAAAACACTAGTAGTGCAGATTCCCTCCCTGGGCAAATGCCAGGTAGCTTTCTAGTAGTTCTGACTCACTCAGAGAACACAGACTCTTATCCTCACAACTCAGATGCCCTTTCCTATAGTTTTATATCCAGTGTTTTTCAAGTGTAGCCAGATGAAAAAGCAATACAGCAATTCTAGCTCTTTCAGACTTAATGAAACAGACTGAAGAACTGAGTGCTTTGGATAGAATTAATCCCCACTGTAATCGTTGAGGGTGGGAAATCCTATTATGGTAATTAAAAGGTGGGGCCTTGAAGAGATGACTAGATTGTAGGACCATGCTGTAGTGAATGGATTAACAACGGTGGTCAAGAGTGTGTTTCTGAGGGCTTTAAAAGAGGAGCACACGAGAGGTCAGTCTCTCTCTGCTCTGCTGTTTTCTGCCATGTGAGACCCCTGGGTCACTGTTACCACCACCAAGGCCTTCACCAGATATATTCCCTGGACTCTGGACTTCACAGCTTCTGAAACTGTAGGTGGTAAATTTTGTTTTCTTTATAAATCACCCAGTTCCAGGTGTTTTGTTATAAGCAACAGAAATGGACTCATATACTGAGGAAAGTCAAATATAGGAGGATGACGTGGAGGGGGGAGAAGCGAGGTGTATACTTACCACTTTTTGGTTCCCTTCATTATCGGTGAGCAGCCATTCAATATCCAGGGTGTCTTTTTCTGGGAGCCCCAGTTGATGGTGACAGGGCAAAGTGACCTTTTCCTCTGCCACTCTCTTGATCTCAGTGTGGGTCCCGAAGGTTCCAACACAGTAGGAAACTGGAAGAGGAAAACCTCTATTGAGTAATGCAGAAACTAGATGGCAATGTGTGGGGAGCAAATATTACAACAAATAATTATTAGATGTTCCTGTGGGTAAAGAACAGGTCAAGGTGTTGGTAGAATCCTAGACCAGAAGTACTAGAAGTCCTGGCCCCTTTATTAACTGAATTCATCACATTTTCTTTAACCCCCTGAATTACATCCTACTAGTGCCCATCTTTCCTACCTTACTGGGCTTCAGTGAACAATGAAATTACTTAGGTCAACTGTGTCTTTTGATCTTTCTGTCTCCTACTAGCAGAGGCTTCCAAAAGAACAATATTCATGGAAACTATGCTCTAAGTTGCCCAGCAACTCACGTTCTTAAAGTCAGAATTATAGACATTTGAAGCTGGAGAAAACCTTAGAGATAAATCTTATTTTGCAAATGAGATTCTTTAAATCTAGCAACACTTGTTGCTAACCAGGAGCATGCATTTAGGAGGATGAAAAGACAATTACACGAATATCGTAATATAAAGGGAAATCATTCATGATCAATGAGCTATGCTAATTTAGAGGAGAAAAATTGTAGGCAATTAATTATAGGGTCCAGGAAAAGCTTAAATCCTTTGAGGGTTTTGCAAATATTAGAAATATGTAAATCATCCAGCATAGTGTTTAGCAGATAGAGGCTCTGAATAAAAGGCAACTGATTGTATTATTAAGGAGGTGGTATTTGATATGGGCTTTGGAAAAATGGAATTCAGGTAGATAGAAATAGAGGATGAGGAAAGGTGTTGAGATATGGGTAGGGGAGATAACAGGCACAAGGGCACAGGATGGAAAGGGGGGGGAGTGAATGGTAATAAATAGCTCAGCTTGGCTGGTGTGAAGAATAAATGGGGAAAAGTAGTAATAAATTAGGCTGGATATACTGAGACATGCATTTGTGAAAGAGAAGTTAAATTTTTGCAATATCCAGGCAGAACAGTCCACCAGGCAACCCTGTGCTCTTTCCCTGACTGCAATGCCTGCCTTTCCACCATGGATGCGTTAGGGAAAGGCACAGCACCCTGGGCATTGCTTTATTTTTTCATTTTTCATTTCTCTCATGCCTCGTAAATAAATCTCTCAGAAATGCTCCTGTTCCATCAATTGTGCCTGGGCTAGACTGTCAGGTCCCTGAATGTTTTTGGTCATTCCACAAAAACATTGTATGTGAGAGAAGGAGAGGCAGGGACTGATGTCCTCCCCAGAACAAGCCACAGTATCACATCACAGGGTGGGTTTTCAGGTCACTCCTTAGAGACAGAGTGCCTTCTTAGAGACAGGTTACTCTTCTAGACCTCTTCATGAGCTCAGAAATGCCTCTGGGAACAAGTGAGTTGTTGTAGGGAGTTCCTGCTTCTCTGGGAGACACACATTTATCTCCCCAACTTCTACCTTCCATTCTCTTTAGTTTTGTGTCATGTGGTTCAAAATATGAAACAGCCTTTTCTATTCAAAACAAAATTCCAAGTTACCCCATGTAGATCTTCTCCCTCTGTCCATCCAATCTCCCTTTGGACAATAGGAATTTAGTTACACTTTTGTCTTTCTTTACCTCTAACTTTATCTTTTTCCAGGAATGGTATTCTTTCAGCAAATTTAGACTCTGCTATAGACTGAATGCTTGTATCCCCCCAAAATTCATATGTTGAAAGTCTAACCCCCAATGTGATGGCATTAGGAGGTAGGGTCTTTGAGAGGTGATTATGTCATCAGGGTAGGACCTTCATGAATGGGATAGTGCCCTTATGAAAGAGACACCAGAGAGCTGCCTCATCCCTTTTGCCATGTAAGGCCATAAAAGATGGTGTCTTGAACCAGGAAGCGAGCCCTCATCAGATTGAATCTGCTGGTGTCTTGATCTTGGATTTCCCAGCCTCCAGAACTGTGAAAAATAGATGTGTGTTTAAGCCACCCAGTCTACAGTAGTTTGTTATGGCAGTCTGAACTGGCTAAGACAGACTCCAAGCCTACCTTCTGTCTCTCAGTACCTGGCTAAGGCTTTAATCTTGCTGACTATTGATGACTGATGAATTGATATAAATGAAACATCACATGGATTCTAGGTATGATGTGCCTGGCATTTAAGGTGTGCTTTTGCTCTGGATCTTCCCTTATCTCTTTACACAGTAATAAAAAATGTCAACATGAGAAATGATCTCTTTCAAGCCAATCACAATGAAACACATTGGAAAAGATTCGCAACCTCCAGATTGGAACAGCCCCGAGTGCCAGGGCTTGTGTGAAATCCTCTCTCCTGGGGAGAACTCGCTCTGACACTTCAGAAGGGTTTTAAGAGCTAAAGACCAAGGATCATGACTAATAGAAACATATAAACTACTTCAAGTTCCCTGTTCATTTCCCAAAAATAATTAGCGGCAAATCTGTGGGAAGGAAAAGTGCCTTCAGAGAAATGAAATAAGAAGGAAGGAAGCAGGGGAGACTCTCATTCTACAGCAAGACTGATTGAGCTGAAACCACAGCAGAGGAAGAGCCCTAAGAGACATCTACCATAAGAGAGGCAGCAGGTGGGTTGCCAAGCCCTGTGGCAAAGAAAGGAGATGACAGGAATCTTTTGGGCCTAGGAAGAGGCCTTCAGGACCGACAAGTTAAGCCCTTGAAAGGTCTTACTGACATTCTCAAGAAGGTTTCTATTTTTTCTGTTTAGAACTTGAAACTGCAACGAGAGGGACCACCATTTAGTGAGCACTTCACTTGGTTTGACTACACATGAAGAACTCAACCCGTGAAGAAAAGATTATCATCCAAATTTATTGATGAAACTTAAAGAGGAGGTTGGTAACCCACCCAGGGTCACACAGTTAGGAAGCAACAGGGATCAGGCTTGCCCCAGATCTGTCTTGCTGCAAAGTTTGTGGTCTGACAGCCATGTTGGGCTGCTTGTGCCCTGTTTTATGTGGCTTCCAGGATGTCTGGCTCTCCCTAAGCTCCTTGAGCTTGAGTACCATTCATCACTACCTGCCCATGGCACTCTGCCCAGGGTCTCATACACTGTAGGTGTTCAATTAATATTTGTGGAATTGATTTGAATCTAACCCGCAAATTCATTTTACCAATGAGCAAACTGAGGCAGGCCAAGAGGTAAAAAAGTCAGCACAAGATCCTACAATTCATTTAGTAGCAGAAATAACTCATATAATAACCTATCCTTTCTTAATCTCTAAGTTTTCCAGCTATAGAGCAGCTGGAAAATTCACCAGTTTGTACTCTACTAAGCAAAGCTTATAAGCAGCAGCTCTGGCTTCTATCCCTGATCACTTTCCACTGGACACAACAATGCTCAAATGAAACCAGTGCCCTACACCCTAGGCAAAGCTAGAGAAGCCAGCACCAATTTGGTGCATAGAGTAGGCACTTATACATAGAATAAATAAATGCAAAGAATCAGCTATGAAAGTTGCCAAGGGCCGGCCCATGGCTCACTCGGTAGAGTGCGGTGCTGATAACACCAAGGCCCCGGGTTCGGATCCCATATAGGGATGGCCGGTTCGCTCACTGGCTGAGCGTGGTGCTGACAACACCAAGTCAAGGGTTAAGATCCCCTTACCGGTCATCTTTTAAAAAAGAAAAAAAAAGAAAGTTGCCAATTTATGCCACTAGAGGGAATCAAAGGCTCAGATTTGGTTAATGTCCTGAAAGGACCGGAACATAGTGGTGGGTGGTGTGCTTTGACAGAGTGCCAAGTTCTATTTATACCATATCCAAAATTAAATACATCAGTGTGGGGACGGCCCCTCAGTGAACACAAATGGCTTTACCAAGGCAGGAAGCCTCAATATAAGAGCGCAGGCACCTCTAGTCTTCTCTGAACCAACCTCCCCTGATTCTAGAAGGCCACTAGGATCCCTGCAGATATCTGAGGTTTCTCTGTATTTTTTTTTTTTTTAACCCACACGCCTGTTCTGTAGCCTAAGCAGACAGGGGCTTGGGCTCTGTGTTTAATTCCGAAGCTTGACAGTGCTCATGGGGGCTGTAGAGCGTATATCTGCTGACTGGTGGGTAAGATGTAAGGGGCAGTCCAGCCACCCTGTGGCCAGCCCTGGGTTCCCTAGGCATTGAGATTCATCTTTGTTAAGAAAGACCTTAGAGATCATCAATTTAACTTATGAGAAAATTGCAGCCCAGAGAATTGAAACATCAAATCACAAAGCTAGTCAGTGGCAGAACTGCAAGTAAGGGAATAGTTGCCACTGGGCTCCTGGGATTTTGTTGCAGCATTTGACTGTGGGGGAGGGTGCCGGACAGTGGCAGTGCCTCCTTGTGCACATGCAAAATGCCTTCATGGAAGCTGCAGGTTCTCCCTAAGTGAGGGATTTTGCATGCCACTCAGCACTTAACAAAGGACTTTTGGGAGCCTGGGAGAATTGCCTTCTTTGAGCCTTAGTGTTCTCATCTGCAGAATGGGAATCTTAAATAAGATACTGAAGTAAAGCACCTAGCACAGTGAAAGCACATAGGAATCTCCCCCTAAAATGTTAGCTTCCTTCCCTTGCTTGTCTCTACTAGAAGAAGTGGCTTTTTTCCAGATGACTGCTGCCTACATTCAGTTAAGATTAGTTTAAGGTATTACTCTCTAAAGGGTATTTACATTTTATTAAAGATTCTCCTGAGCCTTTAAGACCTTCCTCAAAGAGATGGAGCAGATACCTAGGATGCTGCATTTTAAAAATCGATTTCATATTTTCCTAACAGAATTCTTCCACTTCTCAAATACTTGCTGAATGCCTACAGGGCACAAGTTGCCCCTAAATCTGCATGCTTACTCTCCCCAAAGAACAGATCCTCCCGTGCTGCCATCATCAGCACAGGCACCCAGCATTTCCCAAGGTCCCACCTAGGTGAAGCCACAGTGTTTGTGCAGAGGTCAGGAACAGATGGGTTCATTTTTTTAGAATTGTTTTTTACCAGGCTGCGTAGACAGGTAGTTCACAAGTAACAATGTTAGA